TGGCTTCCCGGGTGCTACTGATTTTCAGCTGTTTGAAGCTGGTATACAAAAAAAACTGAAATTAAAATACGCAAAAATGAAACTTTAAAACGGGAAGCTTAGAAATAGCACACATTGAAAAGATATTCTCAGACTTGCGTTCAACGACGTTGACAGATCTATAAACCCCATTTCTATGTGAATTTTGTCAGGGCTCCCAAAAAGATATTTCAGCTTTAATGACCTTTGATCACATGATTTTTGTTATGTTCATGCAGTTGACATATAGGAGCAAGTCGGACAATTTGTATCCCCATAATATAAAACTTTGAAAGGCGGTGAACAACAATGGTCACCAACTCGACAAAAGTGATCCGCTCGAGCGCCCCCAAAAGCGCAGATAAACATGAGAACACGAAATGACCCCGGGAATCGATAGAACATCGTTCAGAGGTGCACAAAAACGATATAACATTCAAAATTGGTGAATCTTTCCTTCAACTGCAACAGTAACATAGAAAACATGTGTCCTCGGTTACTGTCAACGCTTGATACATTTTACATCACTGTCGTTTCTAATATTAAAGTAACCTCGCTGCCCACTATTGTAAGGAGAGAGCAAGTTGCAATATATTTTCCTTGAACAAAAACCGCGACAGACAGTAATAAAGCAAAGACGCTAGTCATTTTTGCTAATTCAAATTAATATAATAATCTATAACTGTTAAAATACAGAAACAAATTCGCTGAACGACTGACTGTACGATAGACTAAAGGTAGAGCCCCTGCTAATCCCGCCTCTATGGTGTGATTGGATGTCATCCCAGCCCCAGCCAATAGCGTTAGACCACAGTCAGCCCAGATCTAAAACAACGTAGCAGGCGTAAAAGAAACCCAAATCCAAGACATCATTTGAGAATAACATTGTTTGGAAGTCTCTGTGTCACAAATTCATGTAAGCTTGCATATATTGGTTTTATTATGAATGTAGCTATACAATAGACAAAGCATTATTTTGGTAGTTTCATTTTTATTTTTGTCTGTAACAAATGATCACCATGACAAATGTTATGTTTTCTCTGAAATATTTGTTTTTTCTTTGGAAAAGAAACATTTGAGTACAAAGATCTAATAAAACTAAACCATTATTGAATTTCCTTGTGCAGTAACACAGTAATAACCTCTAAACAACTGCATTACTATACATAAGTATACCTTCATTCTCTTTATAGCTGGCATATCTGTAATAATACAATAATAAAGCATTCATACACGATGAAGCACTGAGATGTTGTGAACGGGTCCCTTTTTGGTCTGAAGAATATCAATGCATTCCTCATCATCACTACTGAAACAAACCAACGGGGGACAAAATGACAGCCAGACCATTTAGCATGTTTATCTTTGGACTACAATATATGTACAAAATATACTTCCCACAGGGCAATACACACATAGCTCATGGTCAGGAGAGAATCATAAAACAAAATGAGAAAATTAAATACAGAAATAAAACAGGACACAGATCATCAGAGGAGAATAGAATTTGATTTGGGTCTCAGCCCATAATTGAAAATAACCTAGATCTAGCGCATTATGACTAATGGTTTGCAATCAGGTGACACCACTATGTGAATAAGGTCCAGGTGCAAAGGTTGCTAATAAGGAGGAGGCCTCTGAGTAAAGTTGAATCTGTGTGTGATTGTAGGAAGTATGATGTCAGAACTAGGCCTGTAGGGTATGAAGACAGGTTAATAACATATACAGTTTAAGTCAGAAGTTTACATACACCTTAGCCAAATACATTTAAACTCAGTTTTTCACAATTCCTGACATTTAATCCTAGTACAAATTCCCTGTCTTAGGTCAGTTAGGATCACCACTTTATTTTAAGAATGTGAAATGTCAGAATAATAGTAGAGAATTATTATTTATTATAATTTTTTTGTCATTTTTAGCAGACGCTCTTATCCAGAGCGACTTACAGGAGCAATTAGGGTTAAGTGCCTTGCTCAAGGACACATCGACAGATTTTTCACCTAGTCGGCTCGGGGATTAGAACCAGCGACCTTTCGGTTACTGGCACAACGCTCTTAACCACTAAGCTACCTAGGTCAGAAGTTTACATACACTCAATTAGTATTTGGTAGCACTGCCTTTAAATTGTTTAACTTGGGTCAAATGTTTCGGGTAGCCTTCCACAAGCTTCCCACAATAAGTTGGGTGAATTTTGGCCCATTCCTCCTGACAGAGCTGGTGTAACTGAGTCAGGTTTGTAGGCCTCCTTGCACGCACACACTTTTTCAGTTCTGCCCACAAATGTTCTATAGGATTGAGGTCAGGGCTTTGTGATGGCCACTCCAATACCTTGACTTTGTTGTCCTTAAGCCATTTTGCCACAACTTTGGAAGTATGCTTGGGGTCATTGTCCATTTGGAAGACCCATTTGCAACCAAGCTTTAACTTCCTGACTGATGTCTTGAGATGTTGCTTCAATATATCCACATAATTTTCCTGCCTCATGATGCCATCTATTTTGTGAAGTGCACCAGTCCCTCCTGCAGCAAAGCACCCCCACAGCATGATGCTGCCACCCCGTGCTTCAAGGTTGGGATGGTGTTCTTCGGCTTGCAAGCGATCCCATTTTTCCTCCAAACATAACAATGGTCATTATGGCCAGTTATATTTTTGTTTAATCAGACCAGAGGACATTTCTCCAAAAAGTACGATCTTTGTCCCCATGTGCAGTTGCAAACCGTAGTCTGGCTTTTTTATGGCGGTTTTGGAGCAGTGGCTTCTTCCTTGCTGAGCGGCCTTTCAGGTTATGTCGATATAGGACTCATTTTACTGTGGATATAGATCCTTTTGTACCTGTTTCCTCCAGCATCATCACAAGGTCCTTTGCTGTTGTTCTGGGATTGATTTGCACAGAACGAGTCTCCTTCCTGAGCAGTATGATGGCTGCGGGGTCCCATGGTGTTTATACTTGTGTACTATTGTTTGTATAGATGAACGTGGTACCTTCAGGCGTTTGGAAATTGCTCCCCAGGATGAACCAGACTTTTTTTTCTGAGGTCTTGGCTGATTTCTTTTGAATTTCCCATGATGTCAAGCAAAGAGGCACTGAGTTTGAAGGTAGGCCTTGAAATACATCCACAGGTCCACCTCCAATTGACTCAAATGATGTCAATTAGCCTATCAGAAGCTTCTAAAGCCATGACATCATTTTCTGGAATTTTCCAAGCTGTTTAAAGGCACAGTCAACTTAGTGTATGTAAACTTCTGACCCACTGGAATTGTGATACAGTGAATTATAAGTTAAATAATCTGTCTGTAAACAATTGTTGGAAAAGTTACTTGTGTCATGCACAAAGTAGATGTCCTAACCAACTTGCCAAAACTATAGTTTGTTAACAAGACATTTGTGGAGTGGTTGAAAAAAATAGTTTTAATGACTCCAACCTAAGTGTATGTAAACTTCCGACTTCAACTGTAGAAGCTATAGGGTTCAAACCTAAAGACTTTCAAGGTATTGGTGTAACAACATAATCATGATAGCTACTATTGTAACTGTCTTGTGTTACAACAACTGTCATGTGCAGTTGACATTGTCTGAAATCCTTCTGACTGATTATCATCCTGAATTCCATTCAGAAACCCTTTAACAACCGTTCAGCTCTCGCTCTCTTTCAACAGAGATACATCATAAACAGTTGGTTTCTTGTTCAGAAAAACTGTCAATGTTAGCACTTTCAATACAACACAAAAATAGCTTAGAACAACATTCGTTGTATAAAGGTAGCAAACACACTAACCATTAAAAAACATTCTCTCTAGAAGCATAGTTTCCTACATTTCACTTTTCAAAGACTCCTCTGCACTTACAGTTGGCCCATCATCTCCCCTCCAGTCTGGATCCTGATTAGCACCATAATCTGATCACTATGGAGAGAACATGGACCAGTACTAATGCAGCTTATCTCAGATCTGATTTGGACAGTGATTTTGTTCACAGATATGAATGATAATAGATTATGTGTCTCTAGGACAAACATTTGTAATGTTATTGAAGGCAGATCCTCCACCCCACCTCCCACAAAGCTAACTGCCATTTTCTCAAACGACTCTCGAAAGACATTGAACAAAATACAAAACTACAAAATTGAATGTACAACTTTTCCCATGCAAAAATAAAAAGCTGATCAGTACCCAAATATATAAACAAGAAGCAAACAGAACAAATAAACAATACATATAAATATCAATACAAAATATTAATATTTGAGAAGTACATACACATTGATGTCTCCGAGCACTCTTGGTCAAATATCACTGGCAGCCACTGTAGCAGAGTGTATGCCAGAGTAGTACAGTTGAGACATGGTTGAATTATGGTTATTGTCCATGTTATGAATTTGTTCATCACTTGTAACTCTTTAATCAAAAGCCAATAGGTATAATGTTAATTGAAATAGGCTGATAATAAGTCAGGATCATGAGTCATACATGCTTATGACAAGTCTTATAATGCATTCTTTTTATGGAAACATAATTATCCCTGTTGGCTTTGAATAAACTGTCAGACTGACAGATGAATAACCTTTTCAAATATAACAATTCTCAAAATTTCTCAAAAATGAACACGTTTCGCTAAATTAAGACATCAATGAAACTGCATTCTTATTTACATTCAAGCAGTCTTCTTAAAGAAAACACAATTTAATTCATAGACGTGACATTACCATACACTACATTAAACAAGGTGGGAACTTTACACTCATTTATAGTACAATTTCGAATAAATTATAACTTTTTTAAAGTACCGAACTTTCATTGCTACAATTCACTTTGGCTTCTCTGAGACAATCTGACAGCCATTCGTAATTTTTGCCTTTCTTTTTCCGTGCATAATTAGTTGAATTGAGTTGAACTTTTGATGGCTGTGTAATGTGTTGTTGATGCGTTTCATCCAGCCGTCTGTCTGTATGTGTGTGTGTGCTGGCCCAGGGGTACTGGCCCTAAGCTTGGCTCTCCAGCAGCGCTCGGTGGATCTCCTGGAAGGAAGGTCTCTCCTTGGTGTTCCTCCTCCAACAATTCAGCATGATCTTATACACAGAGTCAGGACACAGCACTGGCTGGGGAAGGTAGATCTATGACACATAGACAATCAGGTACAATACAGTAGAACATACGCAGGTCGATGTACAGCAAAAGAGAGTGAGTCAGGGTGAGTGTGTGCGTGTGGGTTTCTCTCACCTGTCGTTTCTGGTCCCTGAAGAACTCGCCAGTGTTCTCTATGACCTGCTCGTCAGTCAGCTGGGAGTAAGGCTGCTCGTTACAGAAGGTCAGGGTCTCCCACAGCGTCACCCCAAATGCCCACACATCACTGGCTGTGGTGAACTTTCCCTGGGAGTGAAGAGGCAGAACAACAGACATTAGGCTACGTAAGTTGAGTTCAAATGATTTCTAGTGGCTTAAAAAGGGGCTAGTTCAACTGATAACCAAAGCCTTCATTCACTGGCCCATTACAGTAAACATAAGCGATTGAATGTTTTATCAGGGATTGTTATAACTGGAGTGCAGTGTAGTCAGGTTAATAATGTGAATGGTCTGATAGCCAGTGGCCTCATTCCATGAAGTAAACTGAGGTATCTATTCTATGTATGACCATCAAGGGGGCACCACGTCTCACCACTTTCCCTCCCTCCCTCCCTCCCTCCCTCCCTCCCTCCCTCCCTCCCTCCCTCCCTCCCTCCCTCCCTCCCTCCCTCCTCACCAGCAGTATGCTCTCCCAGGACATCCATCGTATGGGCAGCACGGCCCGGCCCTGGATGCGGTAGTAGTCACTGCTGTACAGGTTCCTGCTCATGCCAAAGTCAGCGATCTTGATGGTGTAATTCTTCCCCACCAGACAGTTCCTCGTGGCCAGGTCTCTGTGGACAAAGTTGAGCGAGGAGAGGTACCTCATCCCTGAGGCGATCTGAGTGGCCATGTAGCGCAGGTTACTGTAGCTGTAGCAGAGGAGTGAGAGAAATAGATGAGAGTAGACACCAGCTGGAATGCGGTTTTAACCAATCAGCATTCAGGATTAGACCCACCCCCGTTGTATAATATCATCACATACCCTTGTAAATGTGTAAATACAAACTATAAATACAAGAAAATCTTCTTACATCACATTTCTACATGTTCTCTTCCCTTTGGCACCGCATCAATGTACTGTATCATGAAGCATGATACATTTTTACAGTTTTGGCATTTCAAAGGGTGAAAATGCCATATGGTGTAACTGTCAGAGGTTGAATTTAAACAACAAAAGTGTTGTGAATTGGTGTAATTCATAACAAAAATTGAAATATTTGACTTTGGCACACATTTACAAGGGTATGTGATGATATTATACAATGGTGGGACTAATCCTGAATGCTGATTGGTTAAAACCGCATTCCAGCCGGTGTCTATTCCACAAGTAACCACAGGCTAAATCAATTACATTAAAATTACTATTTACTTTGTTCCATCTGACTGCACAATCCACTGTCTCATCAGACCAGCCAGGCAATTTATAAACTTGATCTCCACTATAAAAAGCATCAAGACATTATCTCACATTTCTTTTAGACTAACATTTAGTTTTCAAAAGCGGAGATTTGTATAAACCTTGCTGTCTGTCTCTCCGACATTTGCAACATTCTTTCAATATTCAAATTCGATCTCCAGCTGTCCTATAGTATTGAACGTGTCGGGACGAGACAGACAGGTAGGCAGGCGGCGTTTCTCAAACAGTCGAAATCATGAATCAGCTGGCATAATTTTTATGGATATATACAAAGTACTGTCAATTGAAAAAACGAAACAAAGTGCAGCTAGTTTGCGGTCTTTCCAGTTTCAGTTTGAAATTGTGTTAGTTGTGTTGTTGGCTAGCTCCTTTGAACAACAGTGTCCTGACGAGTGAGCACATTTTCTATGCCAGGCGAAATCGAGCCTCATTAACTAATTGTTATGGATGTATCCAAATAAATGTCACTAGAAAACAGCTTAAACAAATGCAAATGCAGCTACTTTGCTGTTATTCTGGCTGCACTTTTTGACGTGACTAAGTTAGCCGTAGTTGGCTAGCTAGCAGGCAAGGGTTAAGAACGTTGCCAGCCAGTATGGCAATGGAACATTTAGAACGAACGACTGGGTCGCGTCTCTAGCAACCGAACCCATAGAACGAACGACCAGCCGGCTTGGGTAGCAACCCTAGATTTGTGTCGGGACTATATCTTGTGGAAGGATGAAATAGTATGAATAAATTCATCAAAATGACGTTTTTAGAGGCCTCCCGAGTGGCGCAGTGGTCTAAGGCACTGCATCGCAGTGCTAGCTGTGCCACTAGAGATCCTGTTTTGAGTCCAGGCTCTATCGCAGCCGGCCGCGACCGGGAGACCCATGGGGCGGCGCACAATTGGCCCAGCGTCATCCAGATTAGGGGAGGGTTTGGCCGGCAGGGATGTTCTTGTCCCATCACGCACTAGCGACTCCTGTGGCGGGCCGGGCCCAGTGCACGCTGACACGGTCGCCAGGTGTACGGTGTTTCCTCCGACACATTGGTGCAGTTGGCTTCCGGGTTAAGCGGGCATTGTGTCAAGAAGCAGTGCGGCTCGGTTGGGTTGTGTTTCGGAGGACGCGCGGCTCTCGACCTTCGCCTCTCCGGAGTCCGTACGGGAGTTGCAGCGATGGGACAATACTGTAACTACCAATTGGATACCACGAAATTGGGGAGAAAAAGGGGTAAAAATTAATAAATATATATATATATATATATAAGACAAAAAAAAAAAAAAAAGAACGAAAAACAATAACAATAATCATTACTTGAATATGTTGGTAACCTGTTGTATAAAAGTGATAATGCCCTCGAACCGTGCCAATATATCCTCCAAACACCAGCTTCTCGGGCATCATCACTTTATTATGAAATATTGTCTAAATATGTACCTAGCAAATAAGAAATGTATTTGAAAAACACTAATATCATATGTCACGACCAACATTAAAATGCAACATTGACTACATAAATAGTTTTTTTTCTCAAAGCGTCATGATATGACATCAAAGCATACTTTGAAGTGGACCCTCCAATTCAGCAGAAAGTTAATGAAATCTGCCACAAATGCTCACAAATTTAGCATCTCTATCATCGGTCATGACAAGGGATCATTTTAAATGTCATATGGTGCGACCAGTAAAAACCTATTAAAATGGTGTATAATTTTTTAATAGTTTATCTGTTATTAAAGATTAAGGTGCATGTAAAAAAAAAAACTTTGCCTCGTGACAACCTTTGAAAGTAGAGTTAAAAGCAACTGTGTCAATTATGGCTGTTTTCAGTCTCACCTACCTAGACTGATGATGTCATCTCATTTGCATAGCCAGGTAAACAGAACAGGGGACAAGATAACTTGCAGTGACAGACTTACTGAGAGGCAATTTAGGAGAATTTAGAGTACACATTATCCATTCCGATAGCTGGGCTTATTAGCTATACCATTATACAGGTTACTGTGGATAAAATTGCTAGTCTTTAGCTAGCTAGATTATTATGATAAAGCATATTCGCTAGCTACCTTAGCTAGCTTGCTTATTAGCTATAGCTTACAGGCTTAACAACTTGCTTATTAACTAATGTTTTCTAGCTGGTTTGCTAAATAGCTTTCTAGCTAGGTTCAGGGGTGGATATGGGCCGGAACTCTCAGTTCTCCGATCTCCTCTGTGCTTGGGGCTACAACCAAATGGAAAAATGCATGCAATAGGCTCTATCCCTAGCCAGTTCAAGTAGGATCAGACACTGTTTGTTGACACTCCAAGCTGCTAGATGACATGTGTTAGTCAATAGTGTAGGGTAAAAAATATTTAAACAACAAGCTGATGCATTTACCTGCATTAAAATATATATTTGTAAATAAACTATAGAAAGTCTCAATCATTTCAGATTTGTAGTGAGGTGAACTAACCCCCATTTGGTCAAATCTATGTGCGGTATAAATCTGTAGAAATGTCAGTAATAATTTCTCCCTAGCACACCATGTAAATGCCAAATAAATATTTAGCATGTGGGTATGTATGCCTTACGATCTGCTTGATGACTTCAATAGCTTTCAAAGCCTGCCCTCTGGAATTAAAGGGGCAATCTGGGTTTGGTACAAAACATTTTATCATTTTGATCTCATAGATGATCAATCATTGCCTCCATAGCTCCATCTATGAATTTGAGAGTTGTTACATTTCTCCAGCTGCAGCCCATAGCTTTTGACTAATGTGCTGCTTTGTTGTTATTTGAATCCCAGATTCCCCCTTTAAACCTTGTGTCATAGCATTTCAGACAACATGGTGTAACTTCTATTATGCATTCCCAAATGCTTCCAGTTACAGAAATAGTGTTTTACATTTTTTTTTACAGGAACTTCTATATAGACAGTTCCCCAAAATCAGTTTTACCAGTGAGAACCACAATATGGCTGCATGCAAGATATCATTCATTTGCATTTCTCAATGTATATGCATCTGAAATAGTCTCTAAATCAGGGTTCGTCAACTAGGTTTGGCCTCAGGCCATATTTCTTCTGAGCTAATAGTTGGCGGGCCAGAACATAATTTGTATATAATATTAGCACATATAATTGGTCAACACTACAAATTTAACGACATTTTTAACACATCTGATTAGTACATTAGAAATTCAGTGACAATAACATAATAATTTGGATCTGATTACGGTCATAAAATCACCATGTCTCTATTCAATTATTATTTTTGTCTATTTGTCCGTGCGTTGATTGGTGGGGAAAAACAGGTCTACGTAGCCTACTGTAGGCTACACTACTTTTTTAACGTCAACATTGGTTCAGAACAATTAGCTTGATAGCAAGGGAAAATATTGCTCTCAAAAAAGTATTTAAAAAAAGGTGGATAATGAAATTCGAAGTTTCAGGATAGACTGTACAGAGAGATATGCGTTCATTTTACCATATTTTGCCAGTGCCAAGCCAGTGTGTCTTATTTGCAATGAAAATGTCGCTGTTTGGAAATAATTCAATCTCAGACATCATTATGAATCTAAGCATGGAACTTTCAAAGTGGCCTTCCCACCCCAGACAGAGGCCCGACGCAGAAACATTGAAGCGTTAACTGCAAGCTAGACACACAGCTTTTTTGGCTGACATGTTCTGTCACTTAAACGGGTTAAATCTGCAGTTACAACGAAGAGGGAAAACAGTCGTGGACATGGTGGAAAAACCTGAGGCCTTTACTAGGAAGCTCGAAGTTGTTCGATTTGGACAGAGGGACCAGGGCGCAGCATTGTCACAGAGGTGATGGAAGATTTCATCAAGCAGCTGAGGGACAACTTCTCCACCAGATTTGAAGACTACAGCATGCGCAAGGATATCATTACATTTGTCTGTGATCCTCTCACAGTCCGCATCCAGGTGGAGAATTCTCCAACCTTGTTAAGAAAACGATAACCCTCACTGGATGAGGCCGCATTTCAAACTGAGCTGATTGAATTCCAGACATCAAGCCAAACCAGGAATGCGCTCAGGAGTGCCGAGTCCTTGTGTGCGTTTTGGGTGGAATGCTCAGAGGAATACAGCACAATAAAGAAACTTGCATTTTATGTGCTAACAATGTTTGGATCGACATACACCTGCGAGTCCTCATTTTCCTCTATGAACGCAATATAGATTCACGACAGGAACCGGCTTTCACATAAGTCAATCGAGGACTGCCTGCGCATCAAAATCACATTGATCTCACCCGACATCCACAAGATCGTGTCCGAGGGAAAATGCAACTTTTCCTATTGAGTAAGTAACTTAGTGGCCTATATGACTGTATTTAGTAAATACTAACATTTTTGTGAGTGCTTATCCAGGGATATTTAGGTCTCAAGCTGACAGTATTTTCTGTTTGTTCTTTCGTTAATGGAGCAGGCTATCCCGAGACTCCCGATACAGAAATCGCCTTTTTTTCCTTGAAATGATTGTTTTACAAAGGATGCTACATTTTTGGCCAGTTGCAATTGTAAGTAGGACTTATAAAAAAAATCCCACTTCTATTAGGCCATATATCTTCTTATTGTGAAAGATGCTGTTAAACCTCATAGCCCAGTGAAGTTATTTTATATAGGCTAGGAGGAAATAGACTCCAATTAAGCCCTCTTGTTGTTTGTAAAGTCAAATTAAAATGAAGATTATTGTTGAAATGAATTACTCGACTGTTGTAGTTTTTCTCCATCTGTTGCTGTGCAACACTTGCATAACAAGTTAGCTATATTTTCAGCACCAGGCAATGTTCACCTCCTATCAATTGCGCTCCTGTTGAAGCTTTATGTTTCAGCACCACAAAATGGTCCACTGCCTGCTTTATTAGTTGACTGTCTACTGTATTCTCTCTCCTCATGAATTAAGTTAAAATGTAGCTTTTGCATTATTTAGGTAGGTTAACTTCCTTCTTGGGCCATTGGGAGTTTTAGCATCTCTAGTCTGAGATTTTTTTTATTATTTCTATTTGGGGGGCTTTGGGGGGCCAAATAATTTTGCTGCCGGGCCAGATTTGACCCGCGGTCCGCCATTTGGGGAACCCTGCTCTAAACGATCATTTAAAAATATATTTTGTGAGAAATGTACAGAAAATAATGAATATAGCATATTAAAGTGGTATGACATTTTTACAGGACTAAACATGGGGATCTTGTTTAAAAATGAAATTAAACACTATTTCAGATTTCAACTGTCATAAATTCATAGACAAGACCTATGTGAAGAAAATAAATGTACTTAAATGTTAATTCACTTTAATTTTTTTCACTCTTGAAAACCTTTTGTCACACACACACACACACACACACACACACACACACCCCTCCCCCCACCCTCCATCCCCCTACCCTTACCTGACAGTGGGTGCGTTGCTGATGAGCGCTAGCTGTCCCTCAGGTTCATGGCGGGACAGGAACTGGTTGAGGTCTCCATTCTCCATGTACTCTGTGATCATGCAGAGGGGGTCACTGCAGATACACACGGCCAGCAGACGGATGATGTTAGGGTCCTTCAGACGAGACATGATCTTAATCTCCTTCAGGAAGTCGTTCCTGATGATAACACAGGAACAAAGGTTAGAGGTCAGAGGGAAGACTGTGTGAGAGCTTTGATTAATAGATAGGAATATATCTCACAACACACACATTCAAAATGTGTACTGATGCTGGAAGAATCACTCAAAAAAACATGTCTATGTGGACAATACATTTGGGAGCAGCATGTGCAGACATTCACTGTATTCGCTAATTAGGAGTGCGGCCCCCCTCACCTGGCGTTTTTGTTAGCGTCTGCTCTTAGCATCTTAACAGCCACCAGTACTGGCTGGTTGTCACTGATGTCGAAGGAGAAATCCTCATCCATAAACTCCTGCATGCCTTCTGCCTCACACAGGTGGACCTGTAGGGGGACGAAACATGGAGACTCTGATCAACACACTACATCTAATGGTCACTAACAATGGTTCCAAAGAGCCACAAAGGTTGTGTAAGCTTTTTCTCTAGCTTAAATCACCAGATGAATCTATTTAATGACCCTGATCAATGTTCTTTATCTCAGAAGGGCATAAGAAATTAGTTTAATTGATGTACTGTAAATCATTCACAGAATTTATTTCTGTTTACTATGTGATGTCCAGAGAGCTCGAACCTCTCCAAACTGTCCCTCGCCCAGCTTCTCTTTGAAGGTGAGCAGTTTCCTGGGGAACTCTTCCACCGCCACGTCCTTCCCTGACAGCAGGTCCATGGTTAGAGCAGGGACCGCGTACGTGTTGCCCCCAGTTACGCCCTGCAGGTTGACGATGTCTGCCTCGGCGTAGTGAGGGACTCCGTCCTGGGAAAATGTTGCCGTGGGAGCCTTGGAGGCTGTCGCTGCCACCACTGTGCTGGTCAAAGCTGGAACCGGAGAAAAGAGTTGAAGATAGATTCAGCAATATGACATGATAATACACAATAGGGCGACTTCATGCTTACAGAATGAGCAGACATATTTTTTCAACCTTCGTGACCCAACTCTCTCATATGTCTTTTCTGGTAATTTAAACCCTGCCTGTGTGTCCGGTCTACTCACCGGCCTCCTCCGAGGTGTGGGAGAACTCAGGCAGCTTGCGTATCAGTCGTGAAGGCTCCTGGTAGTCAGGGCCCAGGGGGAAGATACGCTCGTAGGTGGAGCTAGACTCCTGCTCGCTGGGTGCTGACGATGATGAAGGGTTGTTGTGGCTGTAGGCGAATGTCTCGCTCTGTAGTGACAGACTAGCAGTTAGTTCATCGTCCAGCATCCGCCGCGAGGCCTAGAATAAAGGATGCTGGGGTGAAGAGACACATCTGACCAGCCCTGATTGATCAACACATGGCAAATTGTAGGATTTTTCTAATATTTTGCGTTTCCTGATAGTAACAAACAGTCACAAACTAACTTTCACATTCAGAGACATGGTGCATCCAAACACTTTGTGGCTCAGATAAAACATGTGTGAACAGGTGGGATCTCTCACCTTCTCCAGCATCTTTTGCCAGACCTGCCTCCAGAGGATGATGACGATGATGGCGACGAGGATGAAGATGATGGCCACCAGGCAGCCAATCAGAATTCTGGTGTTGCTGTCGTCTATTTTGTGGGTGGGGTCATCCCCTGGGGAGGGGATAGGGGAAGACACCATTCGATTGGACAATAGAATTAAAGCAGGAAGTGGGTTTCGGCCACAGCCATTGCTCACGGGTGGGAGTGTGTGGTAAAAGAGGTAAAAACGGATAAAGCGTGTGCGCAATGCATGTGTAGTGGGCACTGACCTGGTTGAGTGCTGGTGGGAGGGCCACCGCCAGTCTTGGGGGGAGCCAGGGTAGTATTGTACATGGCTGTGTCTGGAAGAGAATAGACAGACTTAAATCACAACAAAGAACTGATAATACTTCACAAATGAATATTCAAACGGAACAAGGTGTGTTTTCTCTACAGCACATGATTTGGAGGTGATCTCAGGTGTGTGTGTGTGTAAACATTTACCTGACTGGAAGGTGATTTCGCTAAACATCATCCAGGAGTCAGCGAAGTAGAAATGGCACTTGATAGCACTGGCCATGTGATTGGCCAGAGAGACGGTGACGAATCGGGCGCTGGGATTGACGTCGTCCACCACAGGGCTGAAGGAAAGGGGCATGGCCTCCCAGTCAGCCTCGGAACGGAAGTAACACACCACCTGGCGGAATGCCTTGATATGATGCATGAACATGTTGTTACAGTGCACCTAGAGACAGAGAAACAGAGAGAGATGGGGGAGCAAGAGGGGAATATGTTGTAAGAGTGAAATTACAGTCAACCTGCTAGAAAAATGTGTTCTAGTGATTGGAAAAAGGGTCAAGAAGCTGAAAGATTTAGAACTGTAATGCCTGTTATTTGGTCATAAAAATCCCCAGCTCCCCTTACATATTGTAAATAACAACTGGGAGATAACAGCCCCTGACACCTACACCCACCCACCCACACCTTCATGGTGGTGAAGTTGCGTGCGCGGTCGAACTCGAACATGATCTCCACGTATCCGTTGGGGAAGCTCTCGTTGGTCCAACCTACGTAGTCGTAGCCAGGCCACACATTGTAGACGTGGCTGTGGGTGAAGTCATCTAATCCACACATCCCATCAGTCAGCTGGCCCAGCCCCTCCGTCATACTGGAGACGGAGAAGAAAGAGAGAAGAGGAGATGAAGATAGAGTTCAGAGTTAGAGTATTTTGAGGTAGTCAAAATACAAACTAAAAATGTGTTTTCGGGGTGAACCAGAGAGTCTCTGTGTGAACTATCCTTAAGGAGACCTGACAACGTGTAAACGACTAATTGACAACCTTGCTTGACACACAATAATCGCTATTTTCATGTTTAATTACCAAGTATTTATTTTACAACACACAATATTTATTTTGTGAAAGGTAAGGTTGAGAGACAAACTATTCCGCTATCTGTTTATTCAGCTTCCCTCCACCCACCACTAGGTGGTAGCATCATCTTTTCCACATTCAATATCTCATCTTGGCAGTGGTATAAAAACCCGAGCCATTTTCTCTTCTCAGACTACATTAACAGACTCAAACTCAGAGAGAGAGAGAGGGAGAGAAAGAGAAGCAGAGAGAGAAAGAGAGATAGAGTTCTATAGCAGAGACAAACTGAGGGCAGCATCATGGAGGAAATTATTCAGACCACAGTGACTCAAACACTAACACATAAAGGCAGCAAGGATACCCACATAGTCATTTATGTTCTCAAGAAGTCAAGTTTTTGTCCAAAGACACTGACTCAAACTCTCCCACGCGTTCATGCACCAGAAGCCATGTGTGGGTGTAATTGTCTCTGTGTGTGTTCGTAACACTCCAGTGCATAACTGTGCAGAGAAGCGTGCTTGTGTGTGTGTATGTATGTGTGTGTGTGTACTCGTGACAAAACCACAGTGACACATGCCATTGCGCTGTCTACATCCTGCCGTAACTACAGCAACCAGGCAATAACAGGGCCAGCGTGGAACCACAACTCCGAGATTGGTGAAGGAAGCACAAAAGGAGGAGAGGAAGAACAGAGAAGGAGGTTGGATAAACCGAGAGAGGAGGGATACATTAAATCAAAACTAATTTTATGTCACATGCGCCGAATACAACAGGTGTAGACCTTACAATGAAATGCTTACTTACAAGCCCTTAACCAACAATGCAACTTTAAGAAAAATAAGTGTTAAGTAAAAAATATATACAAATAATAATAAAAAAGGATGAAAGAGCAGCAGTAAAATAACAGTAGGCTATATACAGGGGGTCCCGGTACAGAGTCAATGGGCGGGGGCACAGGTTAGTCGAGGTAATTGAGGTAATATGTACATGTAGGTAGAGTTAAAGTGACTATGCATAGCTAATAAACAGAGAGTAGCAGCAGCAACAACAAAGAGGGAGTGGGGGGGGGGGGGGGGGGGGGGGGGGCAATGCAAAAAGTCTGGGTAGCCATTTCATTAGCTGTTCAGGAGTCTTATGGCTTGGGGGTAGAAGCTGTTAAGAAGCCTTTTGGACCTAGACTTGGCGCTCCGGTACCGCTTGCCGTGCGGTAGCAGAGAGAACAATCTATGACTAGGGTGGCTGGAGTCTTTGACAATTTTTAGGGCCTTCCTCTGACACCACCTGGTATAGAGGTCCTGGATGGCAAGAAGCTTGGCCCCAGTGATGTACTGGGCCGTATGCGCTACCCTCTGTAGTGCCTTGCGGTCGGAGGCCGAGCAGTTGCCATACCAGGCGGTGATGCAACCAGTCAGGATGCTCTCGATGGTGCAGCTGTAGAACTTTTTGAGGATATGAGGACCCATGCCAAATCTTTTCAGTCTCCTGAGGGGGAATAGGCTTTGTCGTGCCCTCTTCCTGACTGTCTTGGTGTGTTTGGACCATGATAGTTTGTTGGTAATGTGGACACCAAGGAACTTGAAGCTCTCAACCTATCCACTACAGCCCCGTCGATGAGAGTGGGGGCGTGCTCGGTACTCTTCTTTTTCCTGTAGTCCACAATCATCTCCTTTGTCTTGATCACGTTCAGGGAGAGGTTGTTATACTGGCACCACACGGCCAGGTCTCTGACCTCCTCCCTATAGGCGGTCTCAACGTTGTTGGTGATCAGGCCTACCACTGTTGTGTTGTCGGCAAACTTAATGATGGTGTTGGAGTCGTGCCTGGCCATGCAGTCATGGAGGGGACTGAGCACGCACCCCTGAGGGGCCCCCGTGTTGAGTATCAGCGTGGCATATGTGTTGTTACCTACCCTTACCACCTGTTGGGCGGCCCGTCAGGAAGTCCAGGATCCAGTTGCAGGGGGAGTTGTTTAGTCCCAGGGTCCTTAGCTTAGTGATGAGCTTTGAGGGCACTATGGTGTTGAACGCTGAGCTGTAGTCAATGAACAGCATTCTCACATAGGTGTTCCTTTTGTCCAGGTGGGAAAGGGCAGTGTGGAGTGCAATAGAGATTGCATCATCTGTGGATCTGTTGGGGCAGTATGCAAATTGGAGTGGGTCTAGGGTTTCTGGGATAATGGTGTTGATGTGAGCCATGACCAGCCTTTCAAAGCACTTCATGGCTACAGACGTGAGTGCTACGGTTCGGTAGTCATTTAGGCAAGTTACCTTAGTGTTCTTGGGCACAGGGACTATGGTGGTCTGCTTGAAACATGTTGGTATTACAGACTCAGTCAGGGACAGGTTGAAAATGTAAGTTTAGACACTTGCCAGTTGGTCAGCGCATGCTTGGAGTACACGTCCTGGTAATCTGTCTGGCCCTGCGGCCTTGTGAATGTTGACCTGTTTAAAGGTCTTACTCACATCAGCTATGGAGAGCGTAATCACACAGTTGTCCGGAACAGCTGACGCTCTCATGCATGCTTCAGTGTTGCTTGCCTCGAAGCGAGCATAGAAGTAATTTAGCTCGTCTGGTATGCCCATGTTACTGGGCAGCTCACGGCTGTGCTTCCATTTGTAGTCTGTAATAGTTTGCAAGCCCTGCCACATCCGACAAGCGTCGGAGCCGGTGTAGTACGATTCAATCTTAGTCCTGTATTGACGCTTTGCCTGTTTGATGGTTCGTCGGAGGGCATAGCGGGATTTCTAATAAGCGGCCAGATTAGAGTCCCGCTCCTTTATATTTTTGTGTATTTTACCCCCTTTTTCTCCCCAATTTCGTGGTATCCAATTGGTGGCTACAGTCTTGTCCCATCGCTGCAACTCCCGTATGGACACGAGAGGCGAAGGTCGAGAGTCGTGCATCCTCCGAAACACAACCCAACCGAGCCGCACTGCTTCTTAACAAAGTGCCCGCTTAACTCGGAAGCCAGCCGCACCAACATACACCTGGCGACCAAGTCAGCGTGCACTGCGCCCGGCCCGCCACAGGAGTCGCTAGTGCGCGACGGGACAAGAACATCCCTGCCGGCCAAACCCTCCCCTACCCTGGACAACGTTGGGCCAATTGTGCGCCGCCCCATGGGTCTCCTGGTCGCGGCCGGCTGCGACAGAATCTGGACTCGAACCAGGATCTCTAGTGGCACAGCTAGCACTGCGATGCAGTGCCTTAGACCACTGCGCCACTCGGGAGGCCAGAGTCCCATTCCTTGAAAGCGGCAGCTCTACCCTTTAGCTCAGTGCGGATGTTGCCTGTAATCCATGGCTTCTTGTTGGGGTATGTACGTACGGTCACTGTGGGGACGACATCATCGATGCACTTATTGATGAAGCCATTGACTGATGTGGTATACTCCTCAATGCCATCGGAAGAATCCCGGAACATATTCTAGTATATGCTAGCAAAACAGTCCTGTAGCTTAGCATCTGCATCATCTGACCACTTCTTTATTGACCGAGTCACTGGTGCATCCTGCTTTAGTTTTTGCTTGTAAGCAGGAATCAGGAGGATAGAGTTATGGTCAGATTTGCCAAATGGAGGGCGAGGGAGAGCTTTGTACGCATCTCCGTGTGTGGAGTAAAGGTGGTCTAGAGTTTTTTTCCTCTGGTTGCACATTACACATGCTGGTAGAAATGACGTAAAACGGATTTAAGTTTCCCTGAGCGTTTTCCTGTTTGCTTATGGCCTTATGCAGCTCATTGAGTGCGGTCTTAGTGGCAGCATCGGTTTGTGGTGGTAAATAGACAGCTACGAAAAATATAGATGAAAACTATCTTGGTAAATAGTGTGGTCTACAGCTTATCATGAGATACTCTACCTCAGGCGAGCGAAACTTCGAGACTTCCTTAATATTAGATTTCATGCACCAGCTGTTGTTTACAAATATACACAGACCGCCACCCCTTGTCTTACCGGAGGCAGCTGTTCTATCTTGCCAATGCAGCGTATATCCCGGCAGTTGTATGTTATCCATGTTGTTGTTCAGACACGACTCGGTGAACCATAAGATATTACAGATTTTTATGTCCCGTTCGTAGGATATCCGTGATCTTAGTTAGTCTATTTTGTTATCCAATGATTGTACGTTGGCTAATAGGACTGATTGTAGAGGCAGACTACACACTCGCCGTCGGCACCCTGACCTATGTCCCCGATATCTAAGTCCCTTCTCATCTGAATGACGGGGATTCAGAAAATCCTTTGCGTCCGACTCGTTAAGAAAACATCTTTGTCCAGTATGAGGTGAGTAATCGCTGTACTAATATCCAGAAGCTCTTTTCGGTCATAAGAGATGGTGGCAGAAACATTATGTACAAAATAAGTTACAAATAACGCGAAGAAACTCACACAATAGCACAATTGGTTAGGAGCCCGTAAAACGGCAGCCATCTCCTTCGGCGAGAGGCAGAATGAAAAGGAGACAGAATAACGATAAGGAGATGAAGAAAAAGAGAAAGGAGGAGGAAGATGACAAGGGAGGATGAGAGGGAAAAGGAGTTATGCACACCCACCTGTGGATGACGGCTCCATCGTACACCGAGTCGTTGAGGTGGACAGGCTGGCCCTCTAGTCTCATCTGTTCTCCTGCTGGAGCGTTGTAGGACACCAGACCGTCTGATAGAGAGAGGGACTCTGTATTAGCCCATTGAGCTAAAACTTAAGCACTGAGTTTGCCGAACTCTGTGTAAAGGATGTCACTCTGTTTTCTTAGCGAGTACCACTTCCTCCTGATTGCGCTCACACCGAAGCTCGAACCCAGGATCTCTGCCTTGCTAGCACACGTGACCGCCCTCCTGAAACGTCTTACCAGTCGCCGCCACGTGAAAGGCTAGCAATTTGGCGGTGTAAGTGGCGACACTTCAGGCTGAGGAGTAAGTTTCACACATCCCCATGTGCTACATCTTTCTACCTATGGTTCAGAGTAGGGCGCTTCTCCACCTCTCCCTCTCTCCTCCCTCTGTCTTACCGAGCCATTCACAGCCGTAGAGCTCCACCCTCATGCAGACGTTCATAGAGTGGTCTGAGACGGGCATGAACCTCACGAAGCGGGCGATGATCGGAGGCTCCAGGTCCTTCAGCATGATGTCATATGCATTCCTGTTCCCCTCAATGACCTATAGCCATGTCACCCACAGATAATAATCAATCAATCAATTAGCCTAAATAATAAGTAATAACTCACACATTCCAGTTCCCTTAACCACTTAGATTGACGTCACACATCACCAATATTACCATTATCAATCAATATTTTATGATCAACACTTTTATATTCCTGTCACTGTCAACCAATAGTCAACTTCATAACTGATTGATTACCTGTTTGCCCTGCCTGTTCCTCCAGGAGATCCAGCGGCTGCCGTCACGGCTGTATTTGATCTTGTACATCTGGGCGAACTCGTTGCCGATGCCCCCTGCGTGGCGGCCCTGTGTGCCCACCAGGGTGATGAAGTGGAGGGAACGCAGGTCTATCTGGAGGAACTCCTTCAGGCTGTCTGGTTCAACGGTTATCTCTGGACACCACGCACCATCACCCTCCTCAAAGTCCAACCTAAAGAGAGGGAGGAGAGGGGAAGTAGAGGGAGAGAGGGCGATAACACATAGAAAAAAGGATAGTGAGAATGAGTGAAAGGGAGGCAGGAGTACACAGAGAGAGAGAGAGAGAGAGAGAGAGAGAGAGAGAGAGAGAGAGAGAGAAAGGGTGGAGGGAAAGGAGAGAGAGGAAGATAGGAAGGGATGGAGTGTGAGAGAAAGGAGAGGTGAGTGGAAAGTGAGTGTGGTGACTGGATGTCAGTTCATACAGCCTATTAAACAAACACCTTTGCTGTAAATGAATGTTAAAGTGTTCATTTAGTGCTGAGCTGGCAAGGGAGAGGGAAGGCTAGGTCAGAATAAAAAGAACATAGATTACATCATTATCTTCCTTACACTGAGTGCAGGCCACCCACACTCTCCAACACACACTAATTTGCACACACACACGCACAATCACTCTCTCTCTCGGTTTCTTTCTCTCTTGCTCTTTCCAGGCTTAACCATAACAAGCTGAGAGTGGGAATTGATACGCAGTTTATTGAAAACCCACAAACACGGACACATACTCTTGAAAACGTTTGTGTGTGAGTGTATACGAGTGTGCATGAGTGTTCATGTGTGTAGTTGTTGGGGCGCCTGCATGTGTCCTGTCTACTAAATTGAAGTTGAGATGTATGTATGTATACACTGAGTGTACAAAACATTAGGAACACATGCTCTTTCCATGACATAGACTGACCAGGTGAATCAAGGTGAAAGCTATGATCCCTTATTGATGTCACTTGTTAAATCCACTTCAATCAGTGTAGATGAAGGGAAGGAGACAGGTTAAAGAAGGATTTTTAAGCGTTGAGACAATCGAGACATGGATTGTATATGTGTGCCATTCAGAGGGTGAATGGGTAAGACAAAAAATGTAAGTGCCTTTGAACGGGGTATGGTAGTAGGTGCCAGGCGCACCGGTTTGAGTGTCAAGAACTGCAACGCTGCTGGGTTTTTCACGCTCAACAGTTTTCCATGTGTATCAAGAATGGTCCATCACCCATAGGACATCCCGCCAACTTGACACAACTGTGGGAAGCATTGGAGTTAACATGGGCCAGCATCCCTGTGGAACACTTTCGACACCTTGTAGAGTCTATGTCCTGACGAATTGAGGCTGTTCTGAGGGCAAAAGGGGGTGCAACTCAATATTATGTTTTGTAGACTCAGTGTATGTGTGTGTGCATGCGTGTGTGTATACAGTACCTGCCGTATCTAGCAGCAGTAGACTCAGACCACTGACTGGAGGCTGAGATGTCTTCATCCTGAATCTGCCCTTCTGACATCCCCAGAGGGTACCGACACACACCTACAACACAAGACGGCTTTTAGTACACACACATGCAAACACACAGTCACGCACACACCCACACACGTCCACACATAAACATGCGCTCCACACATAAACAAGTATGACCGACCCGTTATTGAAACAATGCAAAGCATAGACATTAGGAGCTAACACAAGCAAAGTTACTAGTCACGCGAGCATGGTTCACTGGACCACCTGCGCTACACCGAGGTGTGTGGTGGTAACTCTTACTGAGCTCTCAGACATAAACACACAGTCTGTATTGACCTGGATCATCTGTCTAATCTCCTCCACCTGGTGCCATGGTTTTAAATACTATACTATATACTGGGTTTTAATCATAACTCCCCCAGCCCAGCCCAGTCAGACCAACCACAGTGGTGGGTTCTATAAACCATAGACCTTCAGACATTATTAATTATTATTAATTATTATAAACCATAGACATACACCACCCTACTCCCTTCTTCTAAAATCAAAACTAATCCCCCCTTCTGTCGAGTCATCACATTCTGAAATTGAGAGAGAGAGGTGGCCGTTTAGTCAGTGTGGGTACAAAAACACATCCCCTCTCCCCAGCACTAAGAGTGTGGTTGCTTTATTGAAATAAAGAGCAAGGATCCGTTCAACCTCTCTGCCAGTGCAAACATAAGGGGTAGCACGTAGTGCGTGTGTGTATGTGTGTTAGAGAATACCCCACTGCTCCTGTGTGGTCTTTCCCCTGTAGCAGTGAGGAGCGATCAAAGGTAACTGTGGGCGTTTGAACATTTCATCCTGCTCACTGTGATCCGGTGGGCTAGCGGGTAACTACTCGTGACATAGAAGAGATGGTATCTTTTAACTTTTACAAGCCTGAAATATCATTTCCTTACTTTTGTTGCTGTTTCTGGGAGTAAAAATAGAAGGTGATTTTTCCATCAATATTATCCCAGGGCTGGGTGTATAAGGACTATTTATTGAGGTTTATAATAATCACTGGCCATATCATTGCTTCAACTGTCTTCTCTACTCAGTAGAAAACTGATGCTAACAATTAACTTGGAGACAACACGACCAATGTCTTCGCTGCTTTCCGGCTGAACACTTCATCAAACTGTCTGTATGTGTGTGTGTATACTGTAGTTTCTACAGTGTGTGTGATAGCGCAGGGTCAAGCTGGTCAGTATGAGTGGCAGAGGAAGTACAAGGGAACAGACAGACAGACAGAGACAGACAGACAGACAGACAGACAGAGACAGAGACAGAGACAGAGACAGAGACAGACAGACTACCTGTATGTTTATGTGTGTGTATACTGAAGTGTACAGAGTGTGTGATATCTTGGGGTCAGGCTGGTAACAGGGAGTGGAGGAGGAAGTGCAGGCCAGGGAGAGACTCTCCCTTCAGCATGGCCCCTCAGCTCAGCTCCGTCTGACACACAGGAAAGTCTTTGTGAAGCTGCCAGTAACAGCACACACAACGCTCAAGGCCTTTCTGTCCTTCCTCACTTTTTTATCCTTTCTTTCTGTCCTCCCTCCCTCTTCCAAATGTTTGCTTAAAAGTCAATATGGGGAAACCTCTCAGGGTTCATCCTGGCAGTGACGGTGAGACTCACGCCAGAAACAGATCCGTCCCAAAACAAAAAACTATTCCAGATGTGAGACCACCTTCTCCTCCGCACCGCCCCCTTTCCTCCCTCCCATTCTCCTGTCTTTATCTTCTCCTGTCCTCCTCTCCTGTCCTCCCTCCCCCATCTCCCCCCTCCCTCACGCCTAGACAGACATGTCAGCCATAATCATCACACACTTCTCATATTTTCAGTCTATTAGTGGTAACCTTGGTAACGTAATTGCAATCAAATGTGATAACATCTGCAATTCCTCCAATAATAATGTCAGTTTTGACTCATGTGTTGTATTTGGCAACATTTCATTGGCTCTCCAGGCATCTCTGAGACTCCATAAGCGAGCAGTGAGCAAAACATCCATAACATTTTTTACAACAGTTTACTAAACTCTGGTTAATTAATAAAGTTTAATTCAACTTGATTCACACTGTAGATTATAATACAGTGTGCACAGTACTCTTTGCACAGATCTGTGCAGTTTTTTTCCATGATTAAAATGCTGCGCTTAAAGGTCAACTTTGGGCAAACCCCCAAAAATAACAGCTTTAAACTGTATAACTGATCAATGCACCATCATACCATGTTTGAAAATTGAGAAAGAAGCAGAGTTGGACCGTTTTTCGTGCCGAAAGTCGACCTTTAATATATGAGTGGTGGAAGTTGGGCTAGTTGACCATAGTACCGGTGTAGGATCTTAATTTGATCACCCTGTTGCAGGAGAACTTTCCTACAATGCAGGACATTTCTAACTTGTAGTGTATTTAAGGTTTAAAAAGGCTTCTGAAGTTTGTCATTTCTACTTAGAAATTTAAGAATTGATTTTCCCTTACGAAAAATGCATCAATCCCTACAAAAATGTCCATTAATTATAATCCACATAATAATTCACATTTCCTGTTGCTGCAGGATTATTTTCCTGCTGTAGCAAACTGGCTCAAATTAAGATCCTACATCTGTATTTCACCACTGGTCTGTGAGTGAAAGAGGAGAAACTTGAGTCCATTCACATACAGGTGTCCACTGCAAACAGAGGCAGGGAGAAAGAGAACCAGAGAGAGAGAAAGAGAGAAAAATAGGGGGAGACTAGGCTTGACTTTGCATGCATTAACAGAGCAACTGATTGTTGTTTTCAGACTAGAATAACTGAAAAACCACAACATACTTGATATTGCATGAATGAAGCGTGTCATATTAGTGTCACAGCAGGACACAAATACAACAGAATGAAACTCTGAACAACCACATTATGTGGGATTCACTTGGTACAAAAATAAAACTGATCCATAATAAGGTAATTTTCCATTAACTACAGCCAGACATATCCATTGGCTCAGTCCAGAGACAGTAGAGGAGAAAGCAGAGAAAGAATTTGTCATTACCTTGAATGTAATTGGTGAAAATAAGTCATTATCAGTGGCTCAGACCACATCCTAAACTAAAGCATGCAACAAAGGAGGAGAGAGAGAGAGAGAGGTGTTTTTCAGTGCGCTGGATGAACCTCTCTCCTAAATGTTGGTTTGTGGCGTGTTTATCTAGCTTACCCTCAGGGGTGACTCATGGGGCACTTGTGAGGACTTACCATACTTGTGAGGACTTTTTGGGGACCAACAATAGATTCCCATTCAAAATCCTATTTTCCCTAACCCCTAACCCTTAACTTTACCCCAAACCCTAACTCCTAACCCTAATTCTAACCCTTAACCTAACCCCTAAGACTAAAATAGCCTGTGAGGACCAGCAAAATGTCCTCTTATCTCAGAAGTTTAGTTGGTTTACTATTCTTGTGAGGCCTTCTGGTACTCACAAGTATAGTAAAACGTGTACACACACACACCATCTAAAAATAAAATATCACCTCTGAAAAGGTGGAAAAATACCAGCCTTGTGTGGAGAGAGAGAGAGAGAGAGAGAGCGAAGAAAGAGAGTGCGAGAAAGAGAAGAGAAAAAAAATGCTTTTATTGCCACATACATCAGATAGGTGCAGTGAAATGTGTTGTTTTACAGGGTCAGTCATAGTAGTACGACGCACATGGAGCAAATTAAGGTTTTTCACCTTGTCAGTACGGGTATTCGAATCAGCGACCTTTTGGTTACTGGCCCAACGCTCTAACCACTAGGCTACCTGCTGCCCAAATAGAGAGAGCTGGACGAACCCTCTCACATCCCAACTGGCTCATACTCTTACAGGTCACACATACACGTAAGCACACACATACACACACACACACACACACACACACAGTGGCTCCTTTCCCTCCCTCACCCCTTTTATTTCTCTGTGCTCATGCTCTGGCCAGTGAAAGGCAGGCTTGTTTCATAGTGTTTGCGGTCTAACCACAAGCTCCAAACACACACACACACACACACGCACAGTACTATGATATTATAGTCAATTTTGTCCTTGGCCATCTTGTGTAAACGGTCTCAAAGCCTTTCTATTGTATTATGATGACAGCAATATCTTCATCACAATGGCTGTACCCAGCCTTAAATCACGGGACGATCTGACCTTGGTGGCAGTTTATAATTGTGTGTGTGTGTGTGTGTGTGTGTGTGTGTGTGTGTGTGTTGTGTATGGAAAGTATGTGGTTAATGCATTCCAGACATACTGACAGCAGGAAAGTATATTGAAATGGCCTTCCCATGTGTATTTGCTGGGATTGTTGTTGACCACTCAGAAGTGGTGGAGTGCAGAGTACTAACGCACCTGAACATGGCCAAAGTTCATTTAAATTCATGCAACAAAATGTTCTAAATCTCAAATATGCCCCATTGTGGGAGAATCATTTTGACGGCGCGTGAGAGAGAAATCATAATTATTTACAGATTTCAAATCTTCTAAACTGGACAAAGATCTCTGAAACACAAGAGAATGGATGAGGGAATTGTGCGTCTGTCCGTCCCTTGTCACTCTACAGTTTTGCTATGAGTCTCGTTGACTCAATCACAGGTCTTACTGGGTCTAACTATCATTCTGCTGCATGGATGGAGAGGAAAAAAACAGAAGGCAGGAAATATGCATTGCTGAATTTAGTAGCACTGAGATGCATGTTGATGCCAACTTTCCCCTGTTTAAAATTCCTGAGCAGTGCAGTTATACCATCTCTGTCTTTCCCATTTCCATTCTGAGTGGGCGACATGCTTTCACTGTAGAGTAGGAGCCATAGAGACTGGAATAAGTCTGGAGTAGAGATGGAGAAATAGAGATGGATTCAGGTTGGGATAAGACTGGACTGTAGATCAAGTAATAGGGATAGACTAAAGCTGTATACGGTCAAGCTGATCCACTCTGCTGTATATCCGGAGCACATCTGGTAAACCAGGGCAGAGACCTCTAGCAACAGAGATGACGAGATGTAGACAGGCCTGAAAACAACCACAGCACCCACCACTTCACTGCTCTGTCCCATTGGAGAGAACACCCATTTTTTATAAACCTACTCTCTCTGTCTGCCAATATAGCAACATGCTAGTCTTACAGATCAGCCACACTGTAGGCTGTAAAATACACGCATGAACGGAGAGAAGGGTGTGTCCCAGTGGAGGCTCCTCAGAGGAGGAAGAGGAGGACCATCCTCCTCAGTGAATTTCATAAAAATAGAAATGGTAAAACATTTAAAACGTTTTCCTTTTTAGATAAAACTATACTAAATATAATCACATACACTACCGTTCAAAAGTTTTAGAACACCTACTCATTCAAGGGTTTTTCTTTATTTTTTACTATTTTCTACATTGTTTTATAATAGTGAAGACATCAAAACTATGAAATAACATATATGGAATCATGTAGTAACCAAGAAAAGTATTAAACAAATCAAAATATATTTTATATTTGAGATTCTTCAAATAGCCACCCTTTGCCTTGATGACAGCTTTTCACACTCTTGGCATTCTCTCAACCAGCTTCATGAGGTAGTCACCTGGAATGCATTTCAATTAACAGGTGTGCCTTCTTAAAAGTTAATTTGTGGAACTTCTTTCCTTCTTAAAGCGTTTGAGCCAATCAGTTGTGTTGTGACAAGGTAGGGGGGGTATACAGAAGATAGCCCTATTTGGTAAAAGACCAAGTCCATATTATGGCAAGAACAGCTCAAATAAGCAAAGAGGAACGACAGTCCATCATTACTTTAAGACATGAAGGTCAGTCAATACAGAAAATTTCAAGAACTTTGAAAGTTTCTTCAAGTGCAGTTGCAAAAACCATCAAGCGCTATGATGAAACTGGCTCTCATGAGGACCGCCACAGGAATGGAAGACCCAGAGTTACCTCTGCTGCAGAGGATAAGTTCAATAGAGTTAACTGCACCTCAGAAATTACAGCCCAAATAAATGCTTCACAGAATTCAAGTAACAGACACATCTCAACATCAACTGTTCAGAGGAGACTGTGTAAATCAGGCCTTCATGGTCGAATTGCTGCAAAGAAACCACTACTAAAGGACACCAATAAGAAGAGACTTGCTTGGGCCAAGAAACACGAGCAATGGACATTAGACCGGTGGAAATTTGTATTTTGGTCTGGAGTCCAAATTTGAGATTTTTGGTTCCAACCGCTGTGTCTTGTGAGACATGGTGTGGGTGAATGGATGATCTCTGCATGTGTAGCTCCCACCGTAAAGCATGGAGGAGGATGTGTTATGGTGTGGGGGTGCTTTGCTGGTGACACTGTCTGTGATTTATTTAGAATTCAAGGCACACTTAACCAGCATGGCTAGCACAGCATTCTGCAGCGATACGCCATCCCATCCATTTTGAGTTAGTGGGACAATCATTTGTTTTTCAACAGGACAATGACCCAACACACTTACAGGCTGTGTAAGGGCTATTTTACCAAAAAGGCGAGTGGTGGAGTGCTGCATCAGATGACCTGGCCTCCACAATCCCCCGACCTCAACCAAATTGAGATGGTTTGGGATGAGTCAGACCGCAGAGTGAAGGAAAAGCAGCCAACAAGTGCTCAGCACATGTGGGAACTCCTTCAAGACTGTTGGAAAAGCATTCCAGGTGAAGCTGGTTGAGAGAATGCCAAGAGTGTGCAAAGCTGTCATCAAGGCAAAGGGTGGCTATTTAAAGAATCTCAAATATAAAATATATTTTGATTTGTTTAACACTTTTTTGGTGACTACATGATTCCATATGTG